AACATCCGCAGATTGATACCACTTCTGCTGTTTGAACTGACAGTCAGGACTCTCCAGCCAGCTGGCCTCCGTAATGTTGAGGAACACCGCCATGGAGGCCCAATCAACCTCGCCACGGTGGAAAGGCATCTCATGCCACGGCGGCCCAATGAACTGCAGAACACAGCGGAAAGCATGAAGCACGCATTGGTCAGTGGCGGCGAGAATCATCCCCAACCCTCATGTCTCTGAAACATGCAATCAAGCGTAGTGCCGCGCACCACAGGGATGCAGCCGGACAGAATGGTCTCCGTCAGGCGGTTGCTGCTGGCGGTGTCGCCCGGGGGAAGCAGACAAAAGACAGATTTCCGCATCTCCAGCTGTACTTCTGAGTACGACTTGGAAACCTTGACAGGAAGGTTTGTGCATAAGACCTGCAACACACAAGGACAAATATTGGATTTAATGACAACGATGGTACCACGCGAGGAAGGCGCTGGTTCCTAACCTGGACGTCGGGTGCAGTGTTGTTGAAAGCGACAGCTGCGGAATATCGCATGAATTTGCCACAATTGTTGTTTCTTCTTATGCATGAGGCAGTCATGTAAAGAAATGTTGGTCTCTGAGATCCCACAATGGGAGCTGCCAAATCCCCCACATCGGCCACTGCAGGCACGATTCAAAACTAAGGACCAGGTGGGCGAAAGGTTGCGGGGACAAGACCAGGCTGCCTTTTAAATAGTCTGATGCATACATGCAAAACAAATTGAAACCAGGTTGGAATTGCCTAGCACGGCATCCCTCATTCTGGCCAGGCAGCACATCCGCCTTCCTGCAAAGGTACATGCAATGTTCTTGCCTGTACAATAGGGCACTATTTGTGTCTCCCGCAGAGCTAGTTTTGGCCGCTTGGTGTGGCAGGTTTCTGACTTTTCTGGGATGAGGGTGTGAGAGTGCACCATTGTGCTGCACAGTTTTCTAAATGGCGCGCCCGGTTTTGCATCTCGTATGGGTACTTGAAAGACGTAATCGCGCCCCTGATGTTTCTGCACCGCAAAAAAACGCATGGAATGGATGCATCATCTTGTCACCAACACGTCCAGCTGGTTATGGACTTGTTCGACTGTGCACCTGAAACTGCTCAGAGGTGGTGGCATAATCAAGTGCTTGGGCGTAAATGTTGGATACGTGGCTTTCGTTATGAGTATAACCCTTGAGCCAATCCGATCGAAACTTAATGGCTTTCTGGATCCACCACCACTGCACAAGCGAGCGGGAAAAGCAACACGGTTCACTATGGACCTCCAAACGTGAGGGCACAGGGTGTGCTTTCCCAGCAGCACCAACAAGTCGCCCTGGGCATAATGAGCTGACCTGCTGATAGCAGTATGTGTCCACCCAGACCAGGCACGCCTCGTCAATGTTGTCAGTCAGCACGCCGCTGGCATTTCTGAGCGCCTGTGTCAGCCAGTACTGCCCAGCATACTGGTAGTGCATGTGCTGCATCGACTCCATGCGCTGCAAGCTCCATGGCAGCTCCCCCGGCTCAGCAAGAGGCCACACCTGCAGGTGAATGCATGGAAACAACAACTGAGCTGGTGTGGCAGGCTCCATTACAACCCACGACAGATGAACAGCCCATCTCAGCCTCACAGTTGCACTATACCAACCTTTGGGTCATTGATGTCACACTGAGGTATTCCCAGCGCAGGGGCCACATCTGCAGAGAGATCGAGGATGTAAATCTTGCAGTCGCGCACCGCATGCCAGGGTGGCGGCAATGGGGCCTGCAAAACGTTGATCCGAAGAAGCATATGTATAAGCATTTCTGTGGTTATTCTTGGCTGTGCATGAGTTGACTTTGAGCAGCAAAAACAGACATGGATACAAAGCATACAAGTGAACCACCCGGCCTACCTGCGTTACTGCCTGCCCCTGACAGATGGCGGGAGTCACATGCTGGCTAGGCGCGGATGGCAGAGTGCCCGTGTAGAGACCCCAAACCAGAAACAGCCCTGCGAATGGTCAGGCAAAGTGCTCGATAGGGCAGGGCCACGCCACGCCGCTGGCGGCAGGTGGGCGGCGGTTGGCACCAACTGGACTCAAATAGCGGCCGCGATCGAAAATAGCGGCCGCGACCCTCGCAATGCAGCTCGCCCCAGCTAACACCGTGACCAGTGACAGTGTGGCGGAACCGACCTGAAGTGAGGAGCAAGGCCTTGTGTGGCCGCCTGAGGCCTGTGCGTTGTCCTCGTTGCTGAAGGGCATCCATCTAGGCAAACGGACAAACTCCCGCGCGGATTTGCATTTCTGCGCGGTTTGTGGCGCGTTTTGTGCGCAGCAGTTTGTTTGCCAAAATCAAGAGGACACCCAGAGAGCATGGTAGTTGTAAAAGTAGAGGGATTTTACACTTCCTTCTGACGGGGAAAACTCTGCAGTACAGTTTGGTCTGAGC